AAGCAAAAAGAAAAAAGCCGGAAGTGGCGCTGTGGCTCAAGTGGTAAAGCACTAGCCTTGAGCTGAAGAGCTGAGGGACAGCGCCCAAGCCCAGAGTACAGGCCCCACGACTGGACCCCCCCCCCAAAAAAAAGATGTATAATTTGAACCAGAAGTTTCTAAATTGCTACCATTTCTAAAGCCATATCAAATATGCCACCCCTAAAGGCTTTTTTTTTGCCAGTCTGGGGGCTTGAACTCTGGGCCTGGGTGCTGTCCCTTGAGCTCCTTTTGCTCAAGGCTAGCACTTTACCACTTGAACCCACAGCACCACTTCTCTGGATATTTCTGTGATTAACTGGAGATAAGAGTCTTACAGACTTTCCTGCCCAGCTGACTTCAAACTGTGATCCTCAGATCCCAGCCTCCTGAGTAGCTGGGATGACAGGCGTGAGCCACCAGCGCCTGGCAACAAAGGCATTCTTAAGGCCTGGCTCCACTGTCGGGATAGCATAGGAGCCAACAGTTGGAGACAGGCTGGGCTTTCAGACTTGACGGCAGAACTGGACTGGGGTGAAGGGAAGAGCGACGGCAGCATTTATGTGCAGCTGTTATTGCTACTATTTTTGTAGAAGTAGATCCTCTTCAAGGGCAGATGCGAACGATCAAGATGCCATCCAAGAGAAGTTTTACCCACCCCGCTTCATCCAAGTGCCAGAAAACATGTCCATGGGAGAAGGAATGTTCTGTAGGATGGATTTCAAAGTAAGAGAGGCGTTCTTAAACAAGTGTGTGTGGGGGGGAGGGAGGGTGGGAATCAATAAGGCAATACTAAGTTTTGGGAGGAAAAACCCCAAATGTCCTATACTCATTTGGTTTTGGGTAAGAAGAGACATTCTGGAACCAAACTCACCTGGGTCTGTAAACTCAGACAAATCACAGGCAGTCATAGGGATACCTAATATGATTACATAGGGGTAACCTAATAAATATTTATACCAGTAAATACATATACCTATGAAGATGCCGTAATAATAGAGTATCTAACATGCACGGGTCTCTACGTCTCCATCATCAAGTTCATTCTACCCACCCAGCTGACCTTTGCCTAGAAGAGTTCTGCTTGGCTACAAGCTTTTCAGAAGAGACTGTTGTGTTGTCTTTTTTTTTTTTCTTCCAGATTTCTTGTCTATGACAAGAATTAATGGATGGCCATTTGCAGACCCAAGTACAAAAATCCTCTGCTTTCAAAACACTATTTTTTAGACAGCAAGTCTCACAGTTCTGTCTCTGGCATTTTATTCAGTCATAGTTGTCCAGAAAAGTCATATGATTTCCATATTCCTGCGGAGACCAATAAATACAGGTTTAAATATGGTAGTTAAAAGAAATGTTTCTTTAGGGGCTGGGAAGGTGGCTCAGTGGTAGAGCGCTTGCCTTGCATGCCTGAGGCCCTGGGTTCGATTCCTCAGCACCACATAAGCAAAAAGTGCCAGAAGTGGCGCTGTGGCTCAAGTGGTAGAGCGCTAGCCTTGAGCTGGACCCAAAAAACAAAACAAAAAAAGAAATGTTAAAGAAGGCTGAAAAAGCTGGGTGCTGGTGGCTCATGCCTATAATCCTAGCTACTCAGGAGCCTGAGAGCTAAGGTTCGTGGTTTGAAGCCAGTCCAGGCAGAAAAGTCCCCAATGAACCACTCAAACACTGGAAGTGGTGCCGTGGCTCCAGTGGTAGAGCATCAGCCTTGAGCACAAAGAGAGGCTCAGAGACAGCGCCCAGGCCCTGAGTTCAAGCCCACCACCACCAACAACAACAAAAAAAGAAGGCTGGGGATGTGGCTCGGTACTTCTCTTGCAAGTGCTTAGCCCTCAGTTCAAACCTCAGCGTTGAAAAAAAAAATGAAGCTCTTTAGAAATCTGAGGTTGTGGGTAAAAGCGACAGACGTAGTTTGAGATACTCTGTATTCACGTCAAGGGTTTTAATTCCATTGTTTTTGTTTCAAACTTACACCTGTTGGGGTGCCTGCATTTTCATCACATGTAGGTACTGAAGAATGCTTAGAATTCAGAGCGGACACAGGCTTTAAAATCCTGCTGCGTGTTGGTGTTTGTGCGTAGGTGAGCGGCCTGCCAGCTCCGGACGTCTCGTGGTATCTGAACGGAAGACCAGTCCAGTCGGATGAGCTGCACAAAATGATCGTGTCTGAGAAGGGCTTTCACTCCCTCATCTTTGAAGCGGTCAGAGCGTCGGATGCGGGCGCCTATGTGTGTGTGGCCAGGAACCGAGCCGGGGAAGCCACCTTCACCGTGCAGCTCGACGTCCTGGGTGAGCCTCCCGCAGGACCCGAGACCTGAGGATCGCGGTTCGAAGCCAGCCCTGGCAGGAAAGTCCAGTTAACCACCAGAAAACCTAATGTGGCGCTACGAAAAAGCTCAGGGACAGCACTCAGGCCCTGAGTTCAAGTCCCATGACTGACCAAAAACAAACAAAAGCAATGTTTATTATAATATTTTAACTTAAACTCAAAAGTGTTTTCAATCTTGTTGCTTTTTTAAAACTCTTAAGGTCAATATATCAGGTGATCTTTTACCTTATGTATGTATGTATGTAGGTTGGTTGGTTTTAGAGGGCTTGAACTCAGGGCCTGGTTGCTGTTCCCGAGCCTTTTGCTCAAGGCTAGTGCTCTACCACTTGAGCTCCACTTCCGGCTTTTTTTGTTGTTGTTTTGAGATAACCTGCCTGGGCTGGCTTTGAAGCACGATCTTTAGCTCTCAGGTGTGAGCCCCTAGTGCCTGGCTGCATGATTTTTTAGTTTAACTTACTATAATTCTTTTTTTATTATTATTTGTTTTTTGTCGGTCGTGGGGCTTGAACTCTGGGCTTGGGCGCTGTCCTTGTGCTCTTCAGCTCAAGGCGAGTGCTCTACCGCTTGAGCCACAGCACTACTTCTGGTTTTCTGGGGGGGGGGGAGTTATTAGAGATAAGACTCTCATGGACTTTCCTGCCCCAGCTGGCTTTGAACTGTGATCCTCAGATCTCAGCCTCCTGAGTAGCTAGGATTACAGGTGTGAGCCACCGGCACCTGGCTTTATAATTCTTATAATATTACAAATGCTTTTTTTTTTTTATTAACTCATAGCAAAAGAACACAAAAGAGCACCGATGTTTATCTACAAACCACAGAGTAAAAAAGTTTTTGAAGGGGACACAGTAAAACTGGAATGCCAGATCTCAGCCATACCTCCACCAAAGCTTTTCTGGAAGAGGAACAATGAAATGGTCCAGTTCAACACAGACCGAATAAGGTAGGAATAGATATTTCTTATCTGTACTTTGTTTGGATGGATCCCATTATACCTTAAGCAGATATTGTAAATGGCATGCAATTATGATCTTAATTTATCGTGTGTGTGTGTGTGTGTGTGTGTGTGTGTGTGTGCGCGCGCGCGCGCGCGCTGGTCCTGAGGCTTGGACTCAGGATCTGAGCGTTGTCCCTGAGCTGTCCTTTTGGCTAAAGGCTAGCAGTCTACCTACCACTTGGTCCACACCCCACTTCTGATCTTTTCTGAGTAGTTTACTAGAGATAAGAGTCTCATAGACTTTCCTGCCTGGGCTGGCTTCAAAACATAATCTTTAGATCTCAGCCTCCTGAGTAGCTGGTATTACAGGTGTGAGCCACTGGTGCCTGGCTTGTCTAGTTTTTAAAGTACAGATAGATACTGGGTGCTGGTGGCTCATACCTGTAAATCCAGCTACTCAGGAGGCTGAGATTTAAGGCTCATGGTTCAAAGCCAGCCCAGGCAGATAAAGCCAAGAGCCTCTTGTCTCCAATTAACAAGCTGAAGTCTGGAAGTAGAGGTGTGTTGTTAGTGGTTGAGCACCAGCCTTGAGTGGAAAATGTCAAGTGAGAGTTCAAGGCTGTGCGTTCAAGCCCCAATATACACACAACACACACATATTAAAATTAAAAATAAAATACATACAGAACTATAATAAAAGAGTTCACTAAATCACTAGTAACTTCAAAAGCTCATTCATCATAAATTTAAAGCATAAAGTTACCTGGGATTTATCTTTTAATGGACAATGAAGAAAGATGGCTTAAGGTAATGGATGACGTAGGTAAGAATAAAGAGGGGTGATGGTTTGGTATCAGTGTGTGTGTGTGTGTGTGTGATGTTGGGGGTTAAATCTTGGGTCTCGTGAGCACCTAGGCAAGTGCTCTGTACTGTTGCACTTTGATCATCAAGTGAGACGTTCAATTCAAGAAAAACAGTAGCTGTTTGGCCCTAACTAGACCCAGCCCTGGACTTGTCATCTGCTTCTTCCTTAGCCTGATTTTGTTGGTCAGAGACCTCATCAAAACCGACACAACAGAAACTACTACTTGTACTTTCCTCTTTTCCCTTCCCAGCTTGTATCACGATAATGCTGGGAGAGTTACTTTACTGATCAAAGATGTGACTAAAAAAGACGGAGGCTGGTACACCGTGTCTGCAGTCAATGAAGCTGGAGTGACCACGTGTAACACCAGATTGGATGTGACAGGTATGTGACATTACCAGGTTAAAGGCCAATTAAAAACAAACAAACAAACACGCAGCTGGGCAAGGACTGGGGCTCACATCTGTAATCCCAGCTACTCATGAGGTTGAAATAAAGCCAGCCCAGGCAAAAAGTCCTGGAGACTCTTATATCCAGTGAGCCAGCAGAAAGCCAGAAGTGGGGGCGTGGCTCATGGTAGCTCATCACTCCTGAGCAAAACAAGTCAAATGAGAACCCAAGGTCCTGAGTTCAAGCCTCCAGACCAGAAACCCAGATCCTGTAAAACCAGAGGGATTGCCTCTATAATGCTTTTTTATCTTTTTCCATCCTGATAAAATTTCTATTAAGGACAACTCATTAGTGAATGTGAGTTAACTTTAGTCTGATCTATTTCAGCCCGTCCGAACCAAACTCTTCCCGCTCCAAAACAGTTGCGGGTTAGGCCAACTTTCAGCAAGTATTTGGCCCTGAATGGAAAAGGTTTAGATGTGAAGCAAGCTTTTAACCCAGAGGGAGAATTCCAGCGTCTGGCAGCTCAATCCGGATTGTACGAGAGCGAAGAACTCTAACAGCTCCGACCACAGAGCACCAATAGTGTGGATGACGTTTTCCGCCGCATACATCCATAACTGTATTAACAGGTTATGGCTTGAACTAGATACTCTAACTAATACACATGTATAACGTGACTCATCCTCTGACTCTTCACATTTCCATCTACTTCTCCGATTTTCGAAGCCCCCCAGGAAACGGGCCATCTGGATGTGTTTGTCTTTAAAAGTGGGGATTCTGCTATTTAACAGCAACAGAGGGATGGATCTTAACGCACACGTAGCAGTTGCTGGTTATGGATGAATAACATTTGAAACACATTTAGTGCTTGCAGTCAGGCTCCTGGTACTGCTTAACACGTAACTGCTTTACCTGTGTTCTCTTAGGAATACTAACACGAATCCTGTGAGCAGTGCTGTGCCAAGACAATAAAATTCAGAGTTAAAACAGAGCGTCTCCTCTTCGCAAAAGTCTAGATCTTTGTGGTGAAACCCACCACATTCAGCAAAACCTATGAATGACTACTTCCAAAAGGGAAGCACTCTTCTAGAACATTCTGAAGCTCACAGCTCAAATCACTGCCTCCTGAAAAATCACTTCCGGTGTTTATACCTTAAAGGCAACCCCTCCCGGTATACACATCCCTGGGACCCCGGGTACCCCGAATTCTCACTAACACAGATGACAATCTACCTTCTCAGTTTGCAATTCTGTATTAAATAGATCTCTAATTCTTCCTCCTCCTCCTGTCTTTCTCAACTTCTACTTGTTTTCTTTTTGCTAGTTAATTGGAATGAGAGTCTCTGGGATTTGTCTGCCCCTACTGCCTTTGATCCTTAGGTCTCCACCTCTTAAGTAGCTAGGATTACCAGCAAGAGCAGTAAGTACCTGGCTTAGGTTTCTGATTCTTAAAAATCTTTGTTGAGCTAAATGGCCTAAGGACTGTCCCCGAATGCCATCTTTTAAGGTACATATTTAACATCAATTTGCATGTCTTTTTTTCCCCTCTCACCATTTCAACACCCCCCAAAATCATGGTTCTCCTGTCTTGTTTTCTCCCACAATTTCAAGTACAAACAAAAAAAAATCTGTTATGTTAGACAGAATAATCTTGTGAAATTTTGTGAGTCCCAGTACAGGAGTAGACCCTCTCTTCTATGGGTCATGATCTATCTACAGGCTCTGGGCCTTTCCCTTGGCCTCCCCTGTTCCTTATCAAAGGCAGCTTTGCCCCTCATTACTATGTGGCTTGCTTCTTGCCTTTTTTAGCTGCATTTAAAGCAGAGTGTGTCAAAGCTCCTCCCCCTCCCCTCATCTGCCTCCAGTGTCTTTCTGGGAAATGACAAAAGTGGCTTTATGTCTTCTACCTTCCAAACAACTTAAGAGGTTTTTTCTTCTTCTTTTTGGCCACCTTAGGGCTTTTGGACAGCACTGCATTTTGTTCTGCTGTTTACTACTTAGAATCCCCCCTGTCCTTCATCCTGTGGACTTTTAGGCTGCTGAAATGGACAGCCAAATTCATTTGGCCTATTCTAGAGTTGGCTTACAAACCCTCCTCTCATCTGTGCACAGCATCTGGGCCAGTTGGGAGTCACGGCTCTCCAAGGACCACTGTCCTGACCTGCTCTCCCACACAGCTCTGCAGGGTTGGGTGTTTTGTTTTGTGTTGATACTGGGTCTTGACCTCAGGGTCTCTTGGTTGGCTTTTTCACTCAAAGATGGTGCTCTACCACTTGAGCCACATCACCACTTCTGAGTCTTTGCTGGTTAACTGGAGACAAGAGTCTCTGGGATTTGTCTGCCCAGGTTGTCTTTGAATCTCGATCCTCAAATCTCAGCCTCCTGAATAGCTAGGATTACAGGTGTGAGCCTGTTGTTTTGTGTTTGCCAGTGCTGGGGTTTGAACTCAGTCCTGGGCACCATCCCTGAGCCTCTTTTGCTCAAGGCTAGCACTCTACCACTTGAGCCAGAGCGCCACTTCCAGCTTTTCCTTTTTACATGGTACTGAGGAATCGAACTCAGGGCTTCATGCATGCTAGGCAAGCACTCTACCACTAAGCCACATTTCCAGCCTGCTGTTCTACTTTAATCTGTTTGGAGTTGGAGAAAAGGGATTGGAACTAATTTCTAGAAACAACTCTCAGTTTATAACAACTAGTTAATGCAAATGGATGGGCAAGGGGTCATGTGGGCTTCACTGTTGGTCCTTGGTAGCCTTTGCTCTAACCTGGAATAAATTATTTATTTCACCTCTCAGTGCCTTGGGGTTTGTTTTTTGTTGTTACTTTTTTCCCCTCAGGCCCCAAATGAGAGTACCAATGCTTGCCTTCCAGGGAGGAGACTAAATAAAGCAATGGATATTAAAAGTATTCATGACCCTGGTGTTCATCATAGCTGTCTGGTAATTGGACAATGCTAGGACTGCTAAAGAACAGATCAAAGAAGGCTGGCTGGGAAGACCAGAGTCACTTCACCAGGAATTGGGTTTCTCCAGTGCCTCTGCAGTGGCATTCTAACCTACAGCAAAAACCCACAGTTGGAAAGTCTGGCCCTTAAACTAAAGGCTGAAAATCAACTGTAGGTTGTCAGATTTGAAAATGGAAAAGAATGTGCGCCCTCTTCTGGTAGCAGCGAAACTGGTTTCTGGTGTCTTGGATTCTGGCTTTGTGGGATGCCCAGTACAGGGTCTAGCTCACTACAGGCGGGGCCTGGGGCCTGGTCTCTTGTGTTTGTCTACTGAGGAGAGTTAGGGGGCAAACATAGCGAGTTGTTTTAATAGTGAGTGATGGAGCCGGGCACCGGTGGTTCACGCCTATAATCCTAGCTACTCAGGAGGCTGACATCTGAGGATCACGGTTCAAAGGCAACCAGGGCAGGAAACTCCGTGAGACTCTGATCTACAATAAGCCACTAGAAAACTGGAAGTGGCGCTGGGCTCCAGCGGTAGAGCACTCGCTTTGAGCTGAAGAGTTCAGGGACAGAGCCCCAGCCCAGAGTTCAAGCCCCACGACTGACTTTAAAAAAAAATAGTGAGTGATGGGAGAAGCCTTATTTGGGTTTGTTATTTTTTTTTCCTGGAAAATTGTCTCTCAAAGAAATTCATGATGACATACCTATTGAGCAACCAACCACCTTGCCCAGTTAAAAAGTGAACCGTCAAGCCAAGAGGAGGAAAGCAAGAGTCAAAGAGATTTCACAAATAATTAGTGTGTGTGTGTGGGGGGGGGGGGTTTAAGTCAGTGGCCGTCAGCAAGAGGAAACGTAAAAAGCAAGTTCTTAACAACTGTTGTAGAGCTTGGTGGCCAAGTTCAAGTTCAGTCAGGGTTTCCTGAAATCTCAGCAGGCGTCACACAGTGAGATAAAGACCTTGTGGGAGGCAGAGCATCAAAAATGGCCGGAGGGTGGTGGGCTGGAGGCTAGCCTGGGGTCCCACGGTGGGATCCTGCTTCCAGCAAAGCAAACACAGGAAAAGGTGACATTGTACTTGATGGATTATTAGATTTTGCCAGAGAGCCGTGCAGACCTCCTGGTACAAAGAACAAAAGAAGGTTGATTGCCCAGAAAGGGGCTGGCCAGACCCCTTTCTCACAAGGGAGGAGTGAGAAGCAGCACCGGCTATTGTCTGGGGTGACCTAGATGACCTGGGGGGGGTTAGGGACTAGGGTGACCTAGATGACCTCGGGGGGATTAGGGACTAGGGTGACCTAGATGACCTCGTGGGGTTAGGGACTAGGGTGACCTAGATG